CCCCTAAAAGACATAAACCCACCACCCTTGCAACGACAGATAGGTACTAGCCCTACCACATTCAGAGCCTTGTGAAGAAGACAGTGTGAAGAAGAGACGTGGAATCAGTACCGGGCCGAAGGCCTTCCTAAAAGACATGTGCCTACCACCCTTGCAATGACAAACAGGTACTAGTCCTATCACATGTACAGCCTTCAGAGGAAGATAAAGTGAAAGAGAAGTGTACTAGGCCGGAGGCCCCCCTAAAAGACATAAACCTACCACCCTTGCAACGACAGATTGGTACTACCCCTTCCACATTCAGAGCCTTCAGAAAAATCACAATGAGGAGTGAAAAGAGGAAGGCAAGGTGAAGAAGAGCAGTGGACACGTTACCAGGCCGAAGGTTCTTCTTAAAGACGTGCGCCGAGCACCCTTGCGACGAGGAATAGATACTAGCGCTGCCACGTGCCTTCGGATAGGTGTCTTGACAATAAGACAAGTGGATAGAGCAGTAGGCCGAAGGCCTTCCTAAAAGACGCAAACCTACCATGATTGCAACGACGGATAGATACGAGCCATACCACTTCAGACCCTCCAGAACAGAACAATGAGCAGAAGAGAGGGCGAAGGCCTGCCTAAAGACATCAACCTGCCACCCACGCAACAACAAATAGATACTAGCCCTGCCATCTGCAGGCTCTGAAACAAATTCCAATCTAAATAAATTGACAGACAGTCAGTGGTTTAGTGAGTTAGTAAGTAAAAAAAACGGGGTTTAGAGCTAGGGAGTTGGTTGGAAGAGATACATAAGCAGAAATATACATAGATGTGTAGCCACGGTACATGTGTATGTAAGTGTATGTGCTTACATATGTTTACACATATATATATATTTAGTATACATATCTAATATAAATATACTTTTTTAAACATATATCTATATTGCATTTATCTACTTACGTTGTCAAGTGTGCTCTTTCATGCCCCAATGATCCAGCCCTTCCACCCTCAACCAAGTAAAAGGAAGGGGAGAAGAAGAGTACATGACATACGGTGAACATGAAACACTAGTAAGAGGCAAGCCTTCAAAATTGAAACTGGGAAGCGTCTTCTCGTTCGAACTGCAAAGCCCCACCACGTTCATCCCACGAGGAAAAGACGAGAAATGGGAAGTGTACGAGGCCGAAGGCCCCCCTAAAAGACATAAACCCACCACCCTTGCAACGGCAGATAGGTACTAGCCCTACCACATTCAGAGCCTTGTGAAGAAGACAGTGTGAAGAAGAGACGTGGAAACGGTATCGGGCCGAAGGCCTTCCTCAAAGACATGCGCCTACCACCCTTGCAATGACAAACAGGCACTAGTCCTATCACATGTACAGCCTTCTGAAGAAGATAAAGTGAAGAAGAGAAGTGTACTAGGCCAAAGGCCCCCTTAAAAGACATAAACCTACCACCCTTGCAACGACAGATTGGCACTAGCCCTACCACATTCAGAGCCGTCAGAAAAACAACAATGAGGAGTGGAAAGAAGAAGACAAGGTGAAGAAGAGCAGTGGACACGTTACTAGGCCGAAGGCCTTCCTCAAAGACATAAACCTACCACCCTTACCACGACAGATAGATAGTAGTTCTGCCGCATTCAGGGCCTTCTGAAGAGGAAAATGTGAAGAAGAAAAGTGGAAACGGTACTAGGCCGAAGGTTCTTCTTAAAGATGTGCGCCTACCACCCTTGCGTCGAGAAACAGATACTGGCGCTACCATTTGCCTTCAGACAGAATATCTTGATAAGAAGACAAGTGGATAGAGTACTAGGCCGAAGGCCTTCCTAACAGACATAAACAAACCATCATTGCAACAACAGGTAGATACGAGCCATACCACATTCAGACCCTCCAGGACAGAAAAATGAGCAGCAGAGAGGCCGATTTCGCCCACGGTGTGCAGGTGGCAGGGCTAGTGTCTATTTGCTGTTGTAAGGGTGGCAGATTTACGTCTTGACAGAGCGCCTTCATCTTTCCACCTAGGGCAGTCACTCTTCTTTACCCATATGCAGTGCCGGTACTATAAGCAATTATCTCTTCATAATGTTTGTGCCTAGGCCCCATTCGTTGTTCTAAGGGTGCTTTTGTTACGTCTTTGTAATGCACTTTGCATTTTCTTCTCACTCCATTTCCCTAATCTTCCCAGGCTAGGATGCATTTGTCGTTGCAAAGGTTGCAGATGTACCTTTCTTAGAAGAGACCTTCATCCTAGTACACTTCCCATTTCTCGTTTGTCTATTTATTTAGATTACCCTTGCAGTGGGGGTAGTGGACCTGGGGCTTCCTATAATCACTTAATCCTACAACCTTCGCAACAGCAATTTGATACTAGAATGGAAGTAGATAGATAGATAGATAGATAGATAGATAGAGAGAGAGAGATAGATAGATAGATAGGTAGGTAGGTAGGTAGGTAGATAGGTAGATAGGTAGATAGGTAGATAGGTAGATAGATAGGTGGACAGATAGATAGATAGATAGGTAGATGGATAGATGGATAGATCGATAGATAGATGGATGCATAGATAGATAGATAGTTAGTTAGGTAGGTAGGTAGAAAGACAGACAGACAGACAGATAGATAGATAGATAGGTAGGTAGGTAGAAAGACAGATAGATAGGGAGATCGACAGATACAGGTAGATAGGTATATAAATAAATTGGAAGGAGGTGATGGAGAGAATCCTTCAGCCCAAGCTGGGGCAGCCAACCCGTGCTCCCGTGGAACTAGCATAGATAATGGGAGGGATAGGCAAGATCATAGATGGAATATAGATAGAGTATGCACCTTGCTCGTGTGACGGGATTGGCGTGGTGAATGCGTTTGGGCCAAACAAGGTTGCGAAATGAAGCAAGTAGAAGGCGCGTTTTTTTTATGCTACGCGCACGCGCACCGGTCAAAAAGGTCCCAATCTGCCCGGCCACGCCCCAGCTGAAGCATGGATGAAGCAATTGTGAACAAAGAAACGTAAGAGCGAGATCAGTGGTGTCGATGATCCGTGGTGGCGCTGCCATGGATTTGAGTTTCATCCGTCGTACCTCCCTACCATCTTTTTCCAGCTGCCTTTCGTCGCAGTCATCCTCACCTTTGAATTCCTTTAGTGCTTTGGGAAACTTTAGTGATACCTGCAAGAGCAGGGTCCAACCTGGAGGATCCAGATAGCTGACCAGTGGTGAAACTGGTCTGAGGCTATGTACGTGTCACACAGTGACTACCCAAAGCAAACCTGAGGATTGCAGGTGAAACTGACTCAACATAGGCAGAGCTGTGAAAAAGAGAAGCGCAAGCGTGCGAGTGGTACGGAGTTCATATGGCACTTTGAGATGTATATATATTATGTATATAACTCATGAGTATGGTTATATGTATATATATATACACATTGTATTTGATAGTATTTACATATGCATGCATGCATACATATATACATTTACTATAAATGTGTATATATATATATATTTTGTATGGAATTTGCATTTTCTTTTGTATATTGTATATGTTCAATATTTATATTTGTATTACCCATTTGTTTAATTACATATAGTAATATGTATATATATATATATGTTTATATATATATGTACACATACATGAATAACATTTATATATCTAAATGTGTGTACCTATGTATATTTTTTTTTTGTGGCCCAGCGTTTGGTGGTCCCCCCTCCCCCCCGAGATGGTGATGGTTCCTATATGTATATGAAAGTTATATATATATATACATAACATATATACATATATATATATATTTAAATACATCTACACACACATATTTATATATATATATACATACATATATATACAAATGTATATACATACATATATCTATATATATATATATATACACATCTACACACACATATATATATATATACACATACGTATATACATACATATACGTATACATATTTAAACATGTCTATATATATATATACATATACATATATTTATACATATAGTGTATATATATATATATATATGTAGTGTATGTATATATGCACATATATGTACAATGTATACGTATGTAGTATGTGTATGTGCAAATGTATATAGTATGTCTATGTATGTTTATACCTGTGGATGTGGTGGGGGGGTGGGGGGGGAACCGCCCCATACCATATGGGGTGGGGGGAGCGTGAACACGAGACACGGGACCCTCTGGTAATTTAACATAGCTATTGAAAATGACAATTTATAGTGGATTTACCCATTGAAAATGGTGATTTTCCATAGTTATGCTAGCTTACCAGAGGGTATACATACATGTAATCACTGGAGTCAGGTACATATATATATATATTTATGTGAATGTGTACATCTGCAATATGTAATAAGATTATGTCGCATGCACGTTTTTGCAGGCATTTTTTGTTGATGCGTCTTGGGTAACTTGGAACCTGCCAACGGCCAGCATTGTGGCACAACGGTCACTATGCCAAGGCTGCCGAGGCGCCCTGCAGTCCTGCAGTTTGGCATCATGCCACCAAGAGCAATGGTGTCTGAGTCTTCGGATGGCGGAAAAAAAGGGGGTCCCCAACGGTTCAGTCCATTGTTCAACACAAACATGCCACACTTTGTGCCCTAAAATGCCATGGCGATTCAGCCGATGGATCGCCATGGATCACCATGACTGCAGAAACCTCCATATGAGAAGATAACAAACACAATGAGCAAGGTTCACAGACACATACGGTACCATTTTAGTTTTATTCACGGGGTTTTTGATTCCCTGGGGCATGCCTTCCTTGGACTTGTTTCTTTATGGGGTTGATCCACCCTTTGAAATCAGACAAGGTTTGCTGAAATTCCATGTTCAAGTCCCATGTTCAACTGACAAATCATCCATAAAACCATCTTTGATTCCCAGTTCACCGAAAACATCACTCAGTAAATCCATGCAAATCCATTCTGTATTCTGTATCCCGTCTCCAAATCAATCCTGGGTAACTGCGTGCGGTTAAACTCGCCAGGATCAAGGAATGCTTGCCGCCACCATCTTCAGAGACCTTGATTTTGATGTGCGGCCCGTTGCAGAGCCCAGCGGAAGAATCGATGAAAAAAATATGATGGTGGGTTGATTTTCGTGGCTAATGAACACATGGTGGCGGTGAATGAGACAAAAGCAGTCACTAGTCACTAGCCGCGAATGTATACATGAGATGTTTTCGATACTTCATGATCTCAGTAAGAAATGAATAGAAATGATAGTTACATATAGTTACTGTAATACACAGAATGATTATGTTGTAACTGGATGAAATCTTCTATGAACTCACGGTCTCACGGTGACATCCGCAGATCGAGGCCACCCATGGTGGACTTTGCCTGCAAAAAGAACCTGCAGGCGTGGTAGATGCCACCTGAGCATGTTTTTAAAAAAATATGTAAAACTGGGATGTTGTAAAACTGGGTATTACTCAGATGTTGATACTGATTTATTCTGATTTTACTAATTACTTGGGATCACTTGGGACTATTTATTGCTGAATGTTGCCGTTTTAATTGTTACATCCAGGCAGAACGGATCCAATTTTGATCCAGAAAGGTTCCAGGAACCCATGGGATTTTACTACCAGCTTCTATGGAGATGTGGTAATTTTTCCTGTAAAGGAATGATGCATCTCTCTCTCTCTCTCTACATCATATATACAGTATTATAATATATATATATATACACATACATATATATATATATATATGGGTTCGGTGAGTTTTCCCGGCCCCAAGGGTATTATGATTAGGGTTGGTTATCGTCATTTTTTGTTAAAATGGAAAACGCACTGAGCCCATGTGTATGTCAGTATGTGGTGTATCATGATATGATGTCTCATGTGTTTGCTTCACAATTAGGCTTCTTGTCTCAATCTGCTTTCATATCACTGATGCCTCAACACAACATGTTTACAAGCACACCTTTGTTTATAAACATTTTGTTTTAGATAAAAACAAAAAACAAACAAAAATGTCCGAACTAGTTTGCAGAATATTGTTTTTTGGTTTATAGAGATTTGCCAGATTACAGATGAGGCTCCATGCCAACAGTGCCGATGCACTACTGTCTGACAAAGGATGGAAAATATTTTAGAGGAATGCATTTTTTTGCAGAAACTTCTTCATTAGAAATCATAATATTCCTTGAAGTTTAGCAGCATTCCTTTCGAGAAATATATGCCCTTTTCAGATTTCAAGATGGCTGCTTCTATTGAAAACTGCATTCATCTTTGAAGTTTTTTGGGGAAAAACTATTCATTACAAAACACAATGCCCTTTGAAGTGTTGCAGCATTCCTTTTGAGAAATATTTTCATTACAAATGACAATATCCCTTGAAGTATTGCAGCATTACTTTTGAGAAACATGCCTTTTTCAAGGTGCCTTTTTCAATTGTAAACTACACTCATCTTGGAAGTTTTTTGTGAAAAAATCTTGATTACAAAACACAATACTCCTTGAAGTGTTGCAGCATTCTTTTTGGATTGTTTGAAACATACATGCCTTTTTCAAGATGCTTGCTTCAAGTGGGAAATGCATTATTGTTTGAAATAAGACACAATTCCTTTTTGGGAAATGTATATAACTTTGCTTGAAAGAGTTTCTTCATTCCAATTCAGATTGTTCCTTGAAGTGTTGCAGCAATCGTTTTAAAAAATGTATGCCTTTTTTCAAGAGGATTGATTAAATTGGGAGATGTAATATCTTGCAAAAATATACTATATACTTGATTTAGAGCTGCCAGTTTCAATACCAAAGTACAGCATGTTTTTGCGTTTGGGTTTTCTTTACATCAAATTGCAAGATTACTTCAATTATTTGTTATATGTACCGCTTGGGGTGTATGTAATTTATAGAAATGAGAAATGAAATGAATGAAGGTGAAAAAAAAACATATAAAATGAAAGATATCTTTGAATTTCTGGATAAAAAATAAGTTTATTTGTAATTTCTGCGTAACCTCATTTTCCAGCAAAATTTTCAGGAAAAATAAGGCACAACATACAAGATTCCCTGGCAATTTTAACTGTTTTTTGTTTTTTATATGTAAAAGACTTTATACCTTAAAGTCACACCACTTGATGACAATTTTTTGCTCAGAGTTTGTGGAAGTCTTCTACCTTAATTCTACTTCAATCCAAGAGTTACATGAAATATTTGTAGTAGGTAAGCTTATCTTTCTTATTTCATTTCAATTCTTTGAAAGGTCAATGCAAATTCTATTTTTCTTTATATGTTGTATTAAGACAGTGTGATTTTAAAATTTGTGGCAATCTAATTAGATATGTTCTAGAAAACCTTGGGAGGTATTAAGATCGACTTACTGTATCTTGTTTATTATATGCATGACACCTTAAAATCTATTCAACATCTGTGTCATTGGCGCCCCCTTTTGGAATACCAATAGATCTCATGATGAGATCACAACATTCAAAAACCCACCAAAAACCCACCAGAATTTGAGATGTTACTGATATTTGCATTGATTTTTTGATTGGTATTCCCAAAAAGATACAGTAAGTCGATCTTAAAACCTCCCAAGGTTTTCTAGAACATATCTAATTAGATTGCCACAAATTTTAAAATCACACTGTCTTAATACAACATATAAAGAAAAATAGAATTTGCATTGACCTTTCAAAGAATTGAAATGAAATAAGAAAGATAAGCTTACCTACTACAAATATTTCATGCAACTCTTGGATTGAAGTAGAATTACGGTAGAAGACTTCCACAAACTCTGAGCAAAAAAATGTCATCAAGTGGTGTGACTTTAAGGTATAAAGTCTTTTACATATTTTAAAAAAATCAGTTAAAACTGCCAGGGAATCTTGTATGTTGTGCCTTATTTTTCCTGAGATTTTGCTGGAAAATGAGGTTTACGCAGAAATTACAGATAAGCTTATACTTTATCCAAAAATTACAAGGTGTACGTATAACAAATAATTGAAGTAATCTTGCAATTTGATATAAAGAAAACCCAAATGCAAAAACATGCTGCACTTTGGTATTGAAACTGGCAGCTCTAAATCAAGTATATAGTATATTTTTGCAAGATATTACATCTCCCAATTTAATCAATCCTCTTGAAAAAAGGCATACATTTTTTAAAACGATTGCTGCAACACTTCAAGGAACAATCTGGATTGTAATGAAGAAACTCTTTCAAGCAAAGTTATATACATTTCCCAAAAAGGAATTGTATCTTATTTCAGACAATAAAGCATTTCCCGCTTGAAGCAATCATCTTGAAAAAGGCATGTATGTTTCAAAAAATCCAAAAAGAATGCTGCAACACTTCAAGGAGTAGTATTGCGTTTTGTAATAAAGATTGTTTTCACAAAAAAAACTTCAAAGATGAATGCAGTTTCCAATAGAAGCAGCCATCTTGAAAAGGGCATATATTTCTCAAAAGGAATGCTGCTAAACTTCAAGGAATATTATGATTTCTAATGAAGAAGTTTCTGCAAAAAAATGCATTCCTCTAAAATAATTTCCATCCTATGTCAAGCAGTAGTGCATCGGCACTGTTGGCATGGAGCCTCATCTACAAATGCCTCAGTTTAACTGCGTATATATACATGTGTATATACAGACTACAGACATATATATATACATGTATTTATTTATATATACATACATACATACATACATACATACATACACACATACACACATGCATGAATGCGTGCATGCACGCATGCATGCATGCATACATGCACGCATGCACGCATGCACGCATACACGCATACATACATACACGCATACACGCAGACATACATACATACACACATACATGCAGGCAGGCAGGCAGACAGACAGACAGACAGACAGACATACATACATGTGTATATGTATATATAGATATATATATGTATATATGTATATATGTATATATGTATATATGTACATATGTATATATGTATACACATTATGTGCGACAACATGATTTTAGGTTCCTTACACAATAACCTGGAATGGAAGAATGTAATGTTCATTGCTTGGGTGGGATTTCCCACGCTCTATTCAGTGACTCATCTACAAATGTCCAGCAGGGACCACACCTAGGAAAAGCGGGAAAAGAAACACAAGGGATTCAGATACAGTATGAAGGCTTTGGTGGTCCCAGATGTTGCTTCTGTCTGACTCCCCCGATGGATCACGTTTCCGCAAGCTCCAATGCACCGATGGATCATTTGATGGATCTTTCCAAGAATTCATTTCTTGTGTCTCCAGACATGTCCATCCTACGTATCATATACTACTGCATATATATTAATATATATATATGTGTGTGTGGAACTATAATATATATGAAGTTATATATATATATATATTAATCCATACCCGATGCATGGCCGTGAGCCATTGGACTTTGGTGACTGTGCCCTACCCGCTCTACCCATCCTATCCACCCGTCACAGGAGCTGGGATATCCGAAGGATAGGATGGTGTCATTTTAAGCGATTCGATGAACGCCAAGGCCCATGGTACAGCTAGTGCTCTTCCAACAACCCAACAAAAAGTCATGGGTTGATCCATCAATACGGTATTTCATAGGTCTTGATCTATCCCCAACTGTGGCTAAGTTCATGGTTTGCTCTTTTGCTGTTGTACATGGTTCGAAATGGACGATTCTCCGATGGCTTGAAATAGAGTAGCAATGCTGCAAATGACAAAGATAGATGACCTTTATTTTTGAATGTTTGCAACCTGCAGGTGTTATACAATAAAATCTGGAAGAGCATCAGAGGCCGGCCCTTTCCGCCAAGCTTTCGACAGCTTGGGGCAACAGCAAAACAAAATCCAGAGCCAGCTGTGCCAATCGCACACTTTTTGCAGCTTGGAAGATGGATTTTACTGAGTTCGAAACATTGACAATTGTTGGACCTGGAAGGTGGGTTAAGATTCTTTTAAGATGAATATCTACTATTTTTTTGACTTGAAACCGGTGGCTTTGGAAGTTGACTACAGGTCTCTCTGCACGGCGTGCGAAACTGCGAACTGCCACAGCCCTTTTCGTTGTTTCAGACTAGGGATGATCGATGGCATTTGGCTCAAACATGGTTCAGAACACAGATCTACAACGATGAAACAGCAAAGAAACAATTCGTCACTGTCCAACTGTCCAACTATGTCCAACTGCTCATTTCCTGTTGCAGCCTTGGCCACACTGAGAACACACCACAACGAGTTTTCAAGGGAAACTCCAGCAATTTCGTCCGCGTGTCGCGTCGCGGCAGGAGGGGATTTTGAAGAAAATCCAGCGCAAGACCTGCATATTGATAATTATTGATACTAGTTTCACATCTCAAAAAAACGTGTATATATATATATGATTGATAATTATTGATGCTAGTTTACATCTCAAAAAAACGTTCATGTACTATTGACTATTCATATATATATATATATATAAATATGCATGTACTATTCATGACTCTTCATTCTATCATGATCATGAATGATGTGGCTTTCTCCAACCTGGGAGATGATGCCAGGAGTCCATGCAAAATGAGCAGATACCTGTCGTAACTTGGAGACACGTTGGGATTTCTGGCAATACATTGGTAATTTGTTCAATACACACACATACGCACATACATACATACATACATACATACATACACACATACATACATACATACAGATACATACATACATACATACATACATACATACACACATACATACATACATACATACATACAGACACACATACATACATACATACACACATACATACATACACATACATACATACATACAGATACATACATACATACAGATACATACATACATACATACATACATACATACACACATACATACATACACACACATACATACATACATACATACATCCATGCATGCATACATACATACATACATGCATGCATACATACATACATACATGCATGCATGCATACATACATACATACATGCATGCATACATACATACATGCATGCATACATACATACATGCATGCATGCATGCATGCATACATACATACATACACACATACATACACACATACACACATACACACACACACACATACATACAGACATACATACATACAGACATACATACATACAGATACATACATACATACAGATACATACAGATACATACATACATACATACAGATACATACATACATACAGATACATACATACATACATACAGATACATACATACATACATACAGATACATACATACATCCATGCATGCATACATACATACATACATGCATGCATGCATACATACATACATGCATACATACATACACACATACACACACATACACAGATACACACACACATACACACATACACACATACACACACA